GCTGTGCCACCCTCACAAACACAGTGCCCCAGTCCCTGCTCCGGTTCCTGTCACCGGGGCTGTGCCACCCTCACAAACAGTGCCCCAGTCCCTGCTCCGGTTCCTGGCACCGGGGCTGTGCCACCCTCACAAACACAATGCCCCGGTCCCCTGGCTGGGGGGAGACTCGCAGGGAGTTACTCCAGCTTTCTGTGTTTCCCTTCCTCTTAAGCTCCCTAAGGAGGGTCTGATATTTAATTAAAGTATCATGAAAGAACTAGATATTTAATTACATGATTAAGTCAGTTAGCCTAGCTTGACAGAAATCATAAATCCACAGAAAAATGTGTTAGTGTTGGAGTTAAGCTGTTACTCAGAAACTGCAAACAGGCCAGCTATATTCCTCATGCATGGAATGGGATCAGCCAGGGTTGCATACACCTGTATTGTCAATAAAAATATCAAAAGACATTTTCAAACCCTCTTAATATTCAAACTTTATCATGGTTGGTTGCTCTACTGATGTGAGATTCCACTACCTAGCACAACTTCGTTCATTAGCAGGGCTTCATTAACCCAGGCAGAGCTCAGTGCTGATGAGGCTCCATTGCCCTTGCAAGCCCAGCCAACTTTCTGGGGTGCTGCCTGGTGCCACACTGGTGTCTCTAATAGTGTTACACCAGGAGTGGACTAGCTAATTATACAAAAAACTAGTTACAATTTTCAAACCCTAAAGCAAGTTCCAAACAAGGCCATTTTTGTGAAAGAAGGAAAAAAAAAATGGTTTCTCTCTACCTTAGGGTTTAAAATTACTATGGCAGGCTTGAACGATTGTCACAATAACAAAAGCCACAAAATGCCTTGTATGGCACAGCTCTGATCATGGGGGGAACATCGACTCTACAGAGAGAAGCACAAATTGGGACTTTGCTGAGGTCTCCACTCCATCAGACAGCGCCTGGTTTTAAGCACCTAGTCCCGATCACAAACAAAACACTCCTGGCAGGTGAAATAAATGGCAACACAGATTAACTGACCCCACAAGTCTCACAGTTGTTCCAGTTGTTCCAAAAACCACTCTTCTCCTGGCAGGCTGTGTGCCAGATTGAGTATTGCCTGTCCTCACACAGCTGGCATAAAATCATAAAGGCAGCATAATCATCACACTGGCTGCTCTGGCTACATAGTCAACAGGAATAAGTTGTGTATCCACATGATATCCTGGTTTAATTGGTTCTGTTGGGTGATCCTGTATTACACAGCGCCAGTGTTAATAATAATAAAACCATAACCTGGAAAAATATTTCCTGCTGCAGTGGGCAGGCTGTAATCCTTCAGGAAGCCTCCTGGTTTTCCACTGGCTGGACATGGCCCCGTGGTCCTTGATCAAAGCCCATGTACAATGTATTTAAATGCAAACTGATGCAGGGCAACCCTGTGACATACAGCACTCCTACAAACATCCTCTTATGTTACTACCACAGATATCCATCTCCCTGCACTGTCCAGGCAACAAAGTACGGATTTCATATCAAGTTCTGTGATAAAGTGTAATCTGACTCTCATGTCTCCTTTACTCCCACCAGTCAAGCTATTTACTCAGACATCAATTTAGCAGGGAAAATAAGTATTAAGGACAGCCTAGGTTTAAGAATGAGTGTCATGCTGTCCTTCCTGACATCAGCAAAAGGTGTTCTAGGCTTTCATCCTGATCTCTACATCGAGTCTTAGAGACTCCAGTTATTTTGGAGGTATCCTTTCTTACATACCAACACACAAAAAAGAGTACACCATGTTCCCTGGAGCACTTGCTCCAAAGCTGCAGCAGAGAATTATGGATGACATACAGGTTAGATAGATGTGCCACAGACTGAAATACAAACTGCTGCTCTCTCCGGACCTATGAAACTTTATCTCTCATATCCCTGGTTTTAAAAGATAGGAAATGTGCAGTTAGGGTGACAGTCTCCCACAAACCCAATCCACCAGTAAAAGTACAGTCTGATCTCTCCAGCACAAAACAAGAGGCAGAGCCCCTTTTTGGGGGGAGAAGAGTGTGATACTTCATAAGACAGGCATAATGGATGAAATATGAAATGGTACTTTGCCAATTCCCTTTATGCTAGAAGCCAAACACGATTGATAACCCTGAGCAACTGCCTGTAAGATAGAGAACAGAGCTCCTCTGAACATCTGGCTAATATACCTGACCTGTAGTCTGTTTTGCAGGAGGATTCTGATAACCTAATAATAATATATGCTGCTTGCTTTGCTTTTAGTTGTGAAGTTTGGATTTGTTTCATTGGTTTTTTTTCTTTTAAATTGAGTGCTATTTATAAAGTAACAAATTGTACCTTTACTATCTAATGAAATCTTTACTTGATTAACATTTTTTCTACATCTTGCTTTAATTTTTAAAATTTGTCTTCATGTAAGTATGTGGCACTTGACTACAAAAGTCAGCCTGTAATGTATGTACCTAGAAGTTTGTTATTTTTGGATCTCTACAAAACTTTATAATCATTTAGGAAATAAAAATACCAACGAGAGAAATGACTTAGCATTTTAAATGTACATATATCAAGCATCTCAACATCCACAAATGCAAACCTATGAAGTTCATTTCCTCTCTACTGTATGACAGTTTGAATCAAAGGAAGGGTCAAGACAGAGAGCTCAAGCTCTTTTGCCTTTAGACAAAGCACAAAAAGAATGCATAAAGAGAATTTACATCTGCTACAAATAATTTGAATTTAATTTTATTATTGTTTTTTACCAGCATTTTTCCTTCTTGAGAAAAAGTAACCAGTGTTGGAACAGGGCACAGCCGATAAGTAAATGCATTTACCCAGACTGCCCCATCCTTCCAGCAAGATCAGAAAACAAAACTGGAGGAGGAAACCTGAACTGTCAACGTACTTCAGATTCAAGACTCAATGAGCAATTTCCACTAAATTTCATGGGAGTTAAGGTATCCAAACCACACCATCAGGTTTTAACCACAAATTAAACTAAAAAGAGCAGCTGCCCTGTGGCAGAGGGTTATGCTGCAGCCATGGCAAGGGGCAGCACACACAGCAGCACACCCCAATTACCCATTTACCCTGTCAGTGCAGAGCTGTTCTCTGCAGTCAGTGCTCTGTCCAGGGGAGCCATAAGCACCTGCAGATGAGAACAGAACACTTTCCCATAGGGGATCATTCAACAGATAATTCCTCTGTTACAAGAGCGGCTTAATATTCACAATCTACATTTTCCTCTTAGATTTATCCATTCTGCTTTATTCCCTGTTTTTGCTCAAATGCACCTCCCTGAGTAATAAACCTCTAAATAATTTGTCTTCCTCCTCTGTGTTCCTATAACAATGAATAGATTGCACTGTCTGAACTATAACACTACAAATTTCCGGTGCGTAGTTTTAGCAATAAAGAATTAGGTATTCTAATAAATACGAGGTTAAAAACTAAGGAAAATCAATTACCAAGCTATAGATCACTGAGCAAGAGGTGAAACAGCCAAAGAGATGCTCTTATTAGATTATCAAACTCAAGGCTGATTTATAGCTTTCACTGTGCTTCCTTATCCATCATTTTTATAGTACGTAGAAAGGATTACAAAGCACAAAATTGCCTTGTTTTAATTAGCTATGAAGTTTTGGGTAGCATGGCTATCCTGAGCCTAGGTTACATTTTTTTTTGTTTGCAAAACATGAAAGCAGAGAGCATATTTTATGAATCTGAGAGAGCTGTGACAGAACTGAATCCAATACAGTTGTCAGCCCGCAGCTTCCCAACGCCCTTGCCTGTGATTTGCCCAGAATCGTCAAGCTGTGGAGCAGCCCTGCTAAAAAGGCTCTGAGGCTCCTGGTAAAGATCAAACTGCCCGAGCCAGCAGAGTACCTGTTCAGCCTGGAGAAGGGGACACTTCAAGGGGGTGGAACAGCATCCCCCAGTACCATGAGAAGGTCATCAAAAGACAGAGCCAGGCATAAGATGAAATGAGTCTTCACTCCCAGCCTCGCAGAGAGGTTGTGTGATCTCCATCCTCAGAGGTTTTTAAGGCCAGACTGGATTAATGCCCTGAGCAATCTCATCAGGCCTCACAGCTGACTGCTTCATGCAGGAGGTTGGCCAAGAGCTCTCCCAAGGTCCTTTATAAGCTGAACTGCCACATGAACTCAGTCTGATTCAGGATGCAACAAATTTGACAGGTACTACAAGAAGAATTTTCTGAATTGTACTCAGCACAATTCTGCCTCTTCCACTTCTGAAAGGGATGATGACCTGTAGGTCAGACTGACACAGCAGATCCCTAAAACTTTCTTAATCCAATGGTAAAACATAACTCAGCCAGAGACTTGACAACACTGGCAGCTGGCTCACACTACTGCTCCTGCTGGTGACAACTGCAGAAACGTGCAGATGTCGACAGGCTGGGCTGTGGGGAATCATAAATTAAACCAAAAGGGGCAATTGAAAATTACCAAATCCTGAATACACTTCAGAAGAAACCTCTCATCTTGTCCAGGGTCCCTGCCAACAAAGGTAGAGATCAACTCAAAATTATAATTGTAATTAAAAAAAATAAATGCATGAATGGAGTAATTTTAATAGAATGTGTAAATAACTCTTCAAACTCAGTGACATGATTCACTCCTCCTGAAATAAGTGGTTTTGCAATTACATCCCACACTAGAGGCTTTTCTAAAAATACAAAAAGTTACACAAAAAACTGAGTATGCTTTTCCTAGCCATTCCCTCACCACAGTTGTAATACAAGGACCAGATCTGGACTGCAACCAGTATTTCATTCAGTCTTGCAGCTTCGTTGCTACCTCTTTTAAATGCTTTGGTACATGTAAACATCTCTTCACTGTTTGTAAGGGATACCACATTCTTAGCACTATCACGTTACCAAAAGTAAAAAGATAAAGAAAGAATCCTTTAAAATATTGAGAAGAACTTTTGAAATGATTATTTATAATTTTCTTTTCAG